GGCATATGGATGGTTACACGACCCGCCCACTTAATCGTTCTACTTTTTTATCTGTTCTGTGCCTGTGCCCCAAGGCCTGTATAATAGCATCAATGCGTCTATCATCAACCATCATCGCTGCGGATGCTTTGAAAGGCATCTAATCTCATTTCGCTATCGGAATCCAGCCTTACCAAGTAGAGGTAACTAAGGTTTTGTTAATAAATCATAGGAGAGGAAAACTTTGGCTATAAGTGATTTTTGAATATTTTGAATTTTGAATATTCCGGTTTTCTTTCATATTTAAAAATAAACTGGTTTTCAAAACTCAATCAACAACTCATGTTCTATTTGCACTTTTTGTATTTGTATTGATATCTAAGTTTGTATCTTTTCAAATTTCAGTTTTTCAATATGTTAATTAAATGGAACGAAAATGACTCTTTCATCCATTCGTTTCTTGCAAATCAACTTTTGCCTGAGTCGCCATCTAGTGGAGGTCCTTTTTTAGTGCTTTCGTTTTTTTTTAAATACTTCCTCATTAGTCTTGATCATGGGGATGCGATTTACAGCCATGTGTTATATGTTGCATAAATCCCTAGCACGTAGGCACTGACGTAACATGTGCAATTTGGAACATCATCCGATATTTCGCAACTAAATGAAAACATGTCTTGGATACAATTATTTAACTAGGACGTGGGAAATAACCGTCATACCTATTTTTGACTATAAATGTTTAATTCTTAGATAAATTTAAACATTTACATAACAATAGAGGTTTTCACGACCTCATAAAATCTCTGATAGCCTATCAGAAACTTATCTGGAAGATAAATTGCAAATTTTGGTTTCATAAGTCTCAGATAGAATTATCTGACGGATGATATCAATGAATTGTCAGATACCGTTATATGTTAGATAACTACCTACCAGAAACTTTATCAGCAAGTGGTGAAACAGGCTCTTAATATTCCAGTCTCGCTGCAATCACACCTAAAATATATTTGACTTCAAAGTCAGTAATTGCTCTATTAAATTGAACTACTCTAGGTTCCAAAGTGCAATTAATAACCATTAATAACATAACATTTTTAAAGCCTTTGAAGTTACGGAATTTCAGGGTGAACTGACAAACTAAGACGTTTTTTTTTAAATTTAAACCATATTTCTATAACAATAGAATGATACAGTTTTAATTATAAAAATGAAATAGCAAGCCAAATTTAATTCGTATATTTTTTAAAATGTGAGTAGCTCGGTGGCGTAGTGGATTAGCGCCGCGGCCCGTGATCGTAGTCGTAAAGCAACTTTCACAAGGGTCGGTCACGGGATGGGTGACCAAAAAATTATTATCTCGAGCTACTCCGTGCTTCGGAAGGCACGTTAAGCCGTTGGTCCCGGCTGCATTTGCAGTCGTTAATACCCTCCAATCCGCATTGGGCCAGCGTGGAGGGTCATGGCCCATTCTCCTTAACCATCCATAAGGAAGGCCTGAGCCCCTGCAGTGGGGACGTAAAAGGGCTGATGATGATGATGATGATGATTTTTTAAAACCGGGACATATTTAGAGTTAGCTATTGAGATTGCAAACTAAGATACCTATTGGAATTAGTTATCAAAAATTTAAACTACCTAGATAACAACACTGGAATAAATAATAATAATAACAGTATGACATTACATACATATGTGACAAAGGCAGTGACTGTACTAGTAGTTTTCAGACAATTAAAATTTATGAATCTCTTTTTGGAAAATATACCTATATGCCAAAAAACAAAAAAATTAAAATAATATAAAAACTGTTAACAAGTTGGCATCATGCATGTGACATGCTTATGATGGTAAGTAGTTGATGCCTTTTTGCCAATAGTTTTTAAATCTAGAGAAATCAGGGTTGTGCCACCTAACCGTTTGCACTGCCTTACTAGTATGTATGTGTAACAAAAATATCTATGATATCATATCATATAAACACCTAACAAATACCAAATATGACAAATTAGTTTCATATCTTTGCAAAAATTAATAGAATGTGTAACTTATTGATACCAACGAATATTTTCTTAAATAGCGCAAACTAGTTCAAGTATGATACTATTTAATAAGGAATTTTAGGGCTTGTGAGAAGAGCCTTATATGTCTTGAAACACGCTTCTATATTTGCTTTAGATTTGATAGCTGTATTCATTTTAAATTGTGATTGAGAGCAGGCATTTTCAAACTACCAAAGTAATTCTGTGGTTCCTACTTAGGTACCTACGTGCAAAAATGTGTAACGAAATGTTTAGTGATAAAGGCTGCTTTACGGTAAACAGAGACATTGGTGGCAATCTTTATTCCTTATGAATCAATAATAATTCAGGTAAAATTTTTGTTCAATAATATTATCATAGGAGAAATTCACAGTTAACCAAAAACTTAGTATCTCAAGCTTAAGGTACGTTAGGCCGGCGGTCCAGGCTGCACCTGCAATCTTTAATAACCACTAATCCGCATCAAGCACGCGTGGTGGATCTTGGCCCATTCTCTCTATTCAATTTGATTCGATTTCATTAATAGGGAAGGCCTGAGTCCCAACAACGGGAACATTAATAGGCTGGTGATAACAGTGGACTGCTCATAATGCAAAATGCAAATAAGCACTGCATACCCTACCCATAAAACTCAACTTAAGCTTACCTAAATAATCATACATTAGCTCCCGCCACCGATGTGGCAGTAAGCTGGACTACTTGCAGCTTATTCACCATACAAACAGGACAGGTCCAAACTCGCAATGTACGCAGATGATATTTGTATGTGTGTGTAAAATTCATGCATGTGTTAAGGTTTTGAGAGGCACTGCTTATCGCAAAAAGTCATCAAAAGAGTACCGTTTGCGTAAAGGGACTATTTAATTTGGCCGGTGTTTAATTTTATTATTTTTTCGCCATTTTGTTTTGATTACTTTTCTGAGCGCTAGTGATTTAGCCAGTGACTGTTTATGTGAAAACGTCTAAAATAACACGTATTAACAGTTCAGTAGTTCTTATTTTTCTGTAACTTCAAACGACCATCATCCTGACCATGTGGTTAAACTCATTAAAAGGTACTGAAACTATGCTGAAAATTTACAAGTTATTTTCAATATAGGTATATGATGCATACTCCCTACCGCAAATCTCTGTGCACGCTCCTGGGTGATAGATAACGATAAAGACTACTGTCTGGGTTATAAAGCCCTGCTTATACTAACTGTCAAAACAAACACAATAGCGAACGCCTTAGGTTAAGACTTCTTTAAAACAACAACTTAAAAAGTAAAACTTAGAGTAAGATAAAATTTTATTTTAATATGTCACAACAGTAAAAGGCACATTGTGTTTAATAAACAATTGAATTCATAATAATTATATACTTAGTAAGTAATACTAATCTTAGACATGTACGTATTTTATTTAATAGCCTTTAAACTTGGTACATAAAAATAATGTATACTTAGTTCTATATAAATCAAAAGTTTCTATTACATATCGATAACTTATAAAAATAATAAAACATGGCAAAAATTAACATACAATTGAGCTATTTGCGAAAATATTTTGGCTACATCAATATTATCTATCTTTTAAAAATGGCAGCATATTCAATAGAATAATAAATTATACTAAAAATTAATAGGTAATTATAAAAAAATATATTAAAAGATTAATCTTTCGCATTCGTTTTTAGTATTCACGTAAGAATCGTCTATATTCCAACGTCGTCTGTCATTAATTTGCGAGGTAAAAAAACTCATTACTTCCGCCTCATTCAGCGGTGCGACCATCTGTCTAACCATAGGATACGACATTTTAGCCAATACTATGGCGATATGTCTTTTGGTGGATAAATTTGGGATAAATTACTAAGTTGGGAACACTGCTGTCAAATCCATATTCATAATTATTCATCGTTCGTTATTAAAGTACATGTCATAGTAGTAAAATGAAACGAAATAATGCTAACATCCAGCGCCGGACCTACGCACGGGTGGGGGGGCAGTACAGAGGGGCTATAATGATTATTAAAAAAGAACGAGCTCCACAAATCTTTTCATAGACATTATAGACTACGATATGAGAAGGCCATTCTTCAAAATGCCTAAATGAGACAAAAGAAAAAATTATACACTGCAAAAATATACGTAGAACGTAGAGGGTGGGGAGTGGAGGTAGAGGAAAGACGCTATACGAAATTTCTAAAAATTTAGAATTTGATCTAATAACATCGCTAAGATGTCGCATCCTATCGCTATAGTTATATCTAGAGAATTAGGCCGTCGCTTTGTAGCTTGGATTCATATATTTAATTTTACAAGTGATTAAAACTAACACTCGTATCTATAGTCGAGAGAAGTAATTATTTGAGAAAACGTTATAACTTAAGCATCTATTTTTAAATAATAGACTATGAATGAAGTAAGTTTTGTTAATAGGTAGCTAATAATAATAGTATTTTAACCATTAACAATTCATACTTCATTTAAATTCTTTTTCGTTTGGTAAAAATATCTGCTTAAAATATGACATACTTATTCTTAAGTAATAGGGTAAATTCGGTAGTGAAAAATAAGTCATGATATTACACAAAACTAAAATTTACATCGTATAAACATAGAGATTCTGATTTTGAGTCTTAAAATCGAACGATTATCTCAAGTCATGATTTTTTGTCTGTGTCACGTGACTTGAAACACAACCGGCCATTGTGACGTTCTTGTAACGCAACTGCTGTCCGATTACCAATAAAGATATGCCTATTCATTATAAATCAAATTGCTAGATGGCGCTGTTCTTGATTCATTTGTATCTTTTTATTTCGTTAGCTGGCATTGTTCTTGTATTATTGACATCTCTTGATCTTCTACTCTATGCGTCTGTTTTGAGTACATATCACAAATATTCATGACGTATAAAAAAGTTAAAATTTTGATTTCATTTTAAGGGAATAAAACGTGGTTTTATCGAATTTTTTATGGCTTTTTTAAATTAAAATAAACAAATAGAAGTATTATTTCAAACGGAGTAGAATACGCTACTACTTTCACTCGACTATAGATACTAACGAATGATTAAAACATAAATCATCTGTAATGTCACAGGTTGCATATAGCCTGATATGCTTCTATATGTTCCCCGGGCGAAGGCGTGATCGTGAGCTGTCGGCTCGCCTTCAGGAATAACACGAGTCCGGGCCGGGCCACCAATGGTTCCGTATCACACACCTGGCCCGAACCTGACGTCACGATAATTAGACTAGGACTGGCCCGGATTATTGTGTTATACGGCTCCTCGTCGCCCAAAACCTGACAAAATAATAAAGTATGTTAGATCTATGAAGGCTAGTTCCTGAATCAGATTTGATAGAACCTATACTATAGTAGGTAATAACCAGAGGTCGGAATTAGGTAGAGTTATTTATGTACTTGCATCGAAATGTTTATATTAATGTGGACCTTCCCGGGATTTCTTTATTTCTTCTTTCTTTATTTCTTTCTTTCATTGATGTAAGTTTGGCAACATCGTGCGTGCAGTAGTTTAAATTGTGTAAAAGTAAATAACTTTTTATTTAAACAATCACGGGTTTTTTTCTGCTCTTTAAAATTTATCTCGGGATTTGAGGCATATCCACTTTATTCTTTCGCTGTATGAAATCAGTGTAAGTACATGAATAACTCTACCTAATTCCGACCACTGGTAATAACACAAAGCACTGAGGAAATTAAAAAAAAATCTTTTGGAGATGAAAATTTCCTTCATTTTTACATCCAAATGCAGCAATGATGTATTATTGGATAAAATTAAACTCTTTCTACATGTAATTATAAAGTCAAAAAATATTAATTTCCTACTATGTTCTCTGGTACTTTACTCTTTGCTCGCTACTACTTAGTGAATGATGTTTGATATTTATAAAAACTGTTTAATACATGTGCTAGTACTGTAATCTGATGACAGAAAATTGCAGTAATATTAAATATTGACTAATTTGATATGCACACCTGCAATCCATTAGCTGTCTGAAAACGCATGTCGTAATGTTTGAAGTTTTGAATTTTAAATTAAACCTAATCCACAATATTTCAAATGAAATGAGGTCTCAGTCTCAGATGAGATGATACATATCACATATCATCAGATTCATTAGAAGCATACTTTCTTTTTAAGCTTTAATAACAAAGCAGGCTATTTGGATGTAATACCAACGATTACAAGAAAACATACACATTACTTAAGATCTTTAAGATACCCAATTACTATTATGATAAGTGATTTGGGGCATCCACAAAAACTTGGGATTGTAGCAAAGGATTAATTAATCAGCAAATTTTGGTTTGGGAAATTTATGGTAGTATTAGTATCATTAATAATGTTGTATACACTTTAGTTGTATAATACATATAAGCAATATAACTAATTGGATAGCGGAATGCTTTACCTTAATTTTGACTACAGCAAAGTCTGGCACGGGCGGACGCCAGATACAGCTATTAGGATCTTCCAGCTGGGGCTGGAACAGCAACTGGTCATGCGAGTAACTCGTGTAGTCCAACATATGCACTAGAGTTGCCACATCAATGTGTTTCGGAGTTAAACCCGCGCGAACTATGTTGTCAGAACATGCCATACATTCTACGCAATCTGAGGATAATAATTGCAATGCATTGAGATTTTCACAAAAATAAATAAGTCATTTACACTTATTCGGGCTGTCCCTATGGATATAATTGAATTGAATAGGGAGAATGGGCCATGACCCACTACACAGGCCCAGTGTGGATTGGTGGATATTAACGATTGCAGGTGCAGCCGAGACCCACGGCTTAACGTTCCTTCTGCAGCTCGGCGGAATTCGAGATAACATATTTTTGGTCACTCATCTATGACCGCCTATTGCGAAAGTTGCTAAACAACCCTATCAGAGACCGAGGGCATTAGTCACTGCTCTATCGCGCTCCTATTAACACATACAGAGATATTATTCTTTATAAACATATCATACTAATATCAAATGAAAGGTCTTTATAATTATTTGAAAAGTGGAAAAACTTGCATATTTCGGATGTTACGAAGTATGCTAAAAGTATGTATGGAGATGAAAACTATTAATTGCAAAATAATGAAATAAATGATTATACCTCCACTGAGATAGGCATGGGGTAAGTTAGGTTTTAGAAATATAGCTTGTCCGGGTGATAATATCATGTAGTTCATGAAGTAAGGAGCCCAACAGCCCACATCACCGGGGTAGTCTTTGTGCAACCTCTGAATAAGGCTAATCATGAGGGATTCTTTTGTGCTTGCATCTGAAATAAAATTAATAAAAACTATTAATTCTTTCTAGAGTATATTTTCCAAAGTAGGGATAAATAGCAAAGTTATTCATAGTTTTGGTTATAAACAAGACTTTCGCCAGGTTGATGTCAATTTATTAGTGTACAACAAGTATTTTTCAGTGGATAATTTAGCTCATCGTCGGTGAATGTTAGATTTAACTTTTTTGCATAAGGCATTGAATGGTGGGTCAATGTGCCAAGAATTTCTGGATGAAACCAGCATAAGTGTACCCCTTATAAATTCTAGTTGTCAGCCTTCAAAACTTTCTTTAATGTTCCAGTAAGTAGAACCAATATGGGTAGAAGTGCTTTGGTACCAAGGCTTTTCAGCTTGTACAATAGTTGACATGGAATTGTTTACCTCTATATCTTTTATGACAATTTTGGACAATATAAATTTATTTTTGCAGGATAATTTATTCATTATGTTCTATAACTTGTAATTGTAGTATAGATGCATATGGAATATTTGTAATTCTAACAACGTTGTGCATGTCTATCCTGTCATAAATTCTAGTTAATTGTCATTTAAAAATCAACAGTTTTTTTTTTGTATTTATGATATTGATGTGCTTTGAGTAAATAAATAAACAAACCATGTATCTCCAAAATTACTTATATAAATATTAAATATATATATTAAAAAATATATAATCTACAATGTTCATACCTTCTCTTTTCATCCTAGACAGGAATTTATCTAGACTATCTGCTACTTTCTCTGAACTAGTGGTCATTAGTGACTCAAAAACAGCTTTCAGGGCTTCTTCATTACTATTTGCCATAAGGTTTGCAATACTGTCTGCTGAAAGTATCATTGCGAGTTCAGGAATCCCTAGAATATAATTACAATTTCTGTAATATAAAATACATACTAATTTGTTTGTTGTCATTTGTTTATTTAACATTGACAACACATACATAATTGAAAAGCATTATATCAGTATTTTCCAAACTATGGGTCATGATGGGTTGCAAATAAAGATCTAGTGGATCATAATGAGCAATTCACCGCTGCATAGGATATATGTTTATGAACTCTTTTTCTCTAAGACAGCCAAGAAGTGGGTCCCAAGACTGGAAAGATCTATTATATTGGTCAGTGCCCATGCTCAATCAACTTTAGTTTCAGATTTAAAATATTCTATATGCCATCATTAATGTACACAACATGATTACCTAAATATTTACAGATTAGTTAACCATTTTTAATTGTATAATAGAAATAATTCTCCTACTTTCCAAATACATTTTGATGTCAGCAAGTGATCTGAAGCCACAAAGAGCTTCAAAAGGTGTCAGTGCTATCGCGAGCTCTGGTTTGTGGTTAGGGTCTTTATACATTTCAGGGAAACTCTTATGAAGTTCTTCAGCATGATCCTGGAAACAGAAAAATTCATAATAGGTTTGACAATATGATAACTGAATAAGAAATAAATAAAGATAATTTCTATCATTTCACTTTGTATTGTTGAATTATAATGATTATTACTACTAAAAGTTGTTTACACTTAATAACTAATTATACAATCACCTGTGTCAATCTACAGTGCTGTCATAGTTATATATGTTTTGAATAACATAAACTAATCTTCACAGTAGAAGTAAGTAATATAATTGTAAATGTATGTACAACAATTTATGCACTTATTTAATTTAAAAAAAGATTAAAATGGTTTATACATCAACTTATTTAGCACATAAACAATATACTGAAGCTAGGACCTGCCCAGTTAAGTATACAATGACACCTGTAGAAGGAGGCCCCACTCTTCCTAATAATGGTATATATTTATTTATTTACTGAACTACATAAGATGCAAGGTAATACATATACATTCTTTGCGGGTATATTAAAATAAGTATGTTGTGATGTGTGTGTGTGTAAATGTGTGTTTATGTGTGTTTGTGCATGTTGTGTGTCCGTGTGTGTTTGTATTTGCGTGTGAATTTTGTGTGTGTATGTACAACAACATTATATGATGTACTATCCAATGTATGATCAAGCCATACAACAAATTATCAATCTTGAGATCACTTTTAGTCACACTAAGATTTACATTATTATTTTAAATAAATCCTCAGTCTTGTCATATCCCAGTCTAGACAACTCTTCAATTAATGTTTTTTTACATGAATGTAAATTTAAACTGTAAATTTTATTCTTTTGGTGTAACTTATTATAAAGATTAACAGATTGAGCTTGGAATTGTCGCTTAGCAAATGTAGTTTTACAAACATGTGAAGGAATGACCTTATTTTGTCTCCTTCCAGACAGTAAATTAGGTTCAAAAGGTATGCATCTATGTAATTTAAGAATTCTATTCAAACATATAGTTTTCTAATAGAAAGAATGTTACAATCACAATAAAACTCATTAGTGGGAAATCTGTATAGTTTAAAGAACATAGTCTTCAGTAAACATCTTTGAGCCCTTTCTGCTTAAAGAATTTTACATTTAGTAGCACTGCCCCAAACTGGAATGCAATAGTTTATTACTGACTGCGCCAAGACTACGTATATTAGCGATAGAAAAATTTTGTTGTCATTTTTTAAAGATCCAATTCAATTTTCTAATCCTGTCATTCATGTGTTCTATCTGCGGATGCCAGGACAAATGTTGGTTGATAACGACTCCAAGATACTTTGCATATGTAGCATGAGTAATTTCAGCACCACAATGGCAGTCTACATTATTTTTATTATTACATGAGTGGAGCTTAACTTTTATTAATTGAAAAACAGATATAATTATAATTAAATAACCTAATCCAAATATCTTCGAAGTTAACTTTACACAGTTCCAGAACTTATAAAATGTCAATTAAAATTTATAATAAATTACCTGAAACCTAAAGAACGAAACTACATACACTCAATTTATAAGAATGCTAAAGAATATACTATTAAATAAATGCTATTATACAGTGAATGAATATTTGAATGAAAAGTTTTAGATAAAATGGAATGTCTGACCCTCTTCTTTTTATCTTTCTATATTGCCATGCCTATCAAGGTGCATGTGAATATTATTAACTGAAATTTATGTATTTATTTTCTAAGTCACATGTATGGAATGCAATGAAATAAATAAATAAATTTGTTTTTTTGATATTAATTTAAGCATTATTAAAGATAATCTCTGTATTTACCTTGTTGGGATGAGCTTGTAAAGACAATGCTTTTCTTATTGATAATATTTTAAGAATGAAAGGCACAGCCACTCCAAATTTATTTCTAACAACGGGACCGATAGCATCCAGGTTATCTTTTATGTACTCTGATAACAATATTCCTCTATCAATTATAAGTGATGGTCCATTGGGATGTGTCCCTATCCATAGTTCTGCATACGGCTTCAATGGGTCAATAACATAATTGCTGTTAGCACTTGAAGTTAATGTAGCCACCATACTTTGAGGTCCTAATTTACCCCAGTCGTAATTCTGAATTTGACACTGTAACTCCATATTAATGAAATAAAAGTAAATGTTTGTTTAAAAAAAGGGTTTGTCGAGGGATGAAACTTATAAGAAACTTTATAGCTTCGTTTAAGTTGTAAACTTGGCGGGTTTTAATGCCAAGAAATTAGACATGAATTATTTAACGAAACCATAAAATTTTAATTTTAAAATACAAATGAATAATAAAGAAGCATTTTGACATTGGCTAACTGACAGATATAGGCACTAGCGATGTGCCGAGTATGGTTTGGGACTCGACTCCGATATTCGAATCAGGAAGAATCGATTTTGTACTCGTTAACTCGTTTCTATTATGCGGGTCCAACTGACGCGAGTCTAGTGCTCGAGTTAGGTTGACTCGCTTGTACTCGATCTCAGTTTACTTAAGCAATGAAGTGACGCCCTATTGTAAAAGTTTGAACCTGTAACTTTTTGTTTTCATTTCTTTGTTTTGTGTCAGTAAGCTGTTACTATGAGTTAATTTAATTGTTATTTGGTATTAATAGTGAAGTGATTTAATTTTAGTTAACTTTATAACGAAATGACTCCGAAAAAAGCCTCAGCTGTATGGAAGTGTTTTGAGAAACTGGACGGTGATAAAATAAAGTGCAAAAACTGTGATTCAGTAATTAAAGACTTTAAAAATACAACTAATTACTACCAGAGACTCCAGTCTCCGGTGTAAGGATAAAAATAATTTTAGTTGCTATTAATTCCATATTCTACTCTTATATATCAAACGGTATAGACACAAATAAATAAAATACTACAATATTACTTTATTAATTAATGTTTGCTTCAAACTCTTCCTGTTGTTAATTTTCATTGCTTATTGATTTTAGGGACGTTTTTAAACCATTTCTTGGGTAGGTTTTAAAGACAGTTTCCGTGTTACTTTATGCCTTCTATTGTTAAAAGTAATTTTAAATAATATGTTAAAATATACATGATTGTTCAGGAACCTGTTCCTCGTTTTTGTTTTATTTAAGTCATCGGCCCTTTTGCTTCCCCACTTAAGGATTGTTTAAGAGAATGGTTTATTGAACCTTCCACGCTGGTCTAATGCAGATTGGAGGCGCTTATTCTCTATGCCACAATCGCCAACTCTATTTAAGTTGATTTGAGAGAATATTCTCTCGCGTGAAGCATTGGACATTGATAAACATAATAGAGATTTTGCAAAGTTTGCAATGTACAGATATTTTGAACCTCTACAGGTGGCACGCATTTTCCCAGTTGTTCCTTAGAATTTATCAACACTTAAAGTTGTATTGAGACGACTCTCCCACCACTTTCCCATACTACCTGTCATGAAACAAAAGTTGCTCACCTCATTATGTATGTATATACATAATTTGCTATCAGAAATGCTTAACAAAAAATTAAGTAAACTATAAGGCATTCAAAATCATAAGTGTATAGAAATACGTACGTAATTACAAATGTATTTCAATAAAGATAAAGATTTTCTTGAAATCTGCCAAATTCTACAACTTATTTCAAATCGTCAGCATAATCTGCCAGAGTACAAATTAAGGTGTAAAATCTGCCCAAATGACAGAAATGTTCCACAAACACAAACATAGAACAATAATACTCTACGAACAAAAATTACTTTAAATAATATAGGGCTCGCAAATAAGTATCGATAGCTCAGGGTAACGATACTTTTGTTTCATGACGTACCGATACTTTTCTCCTTTGTAATAAATTATTAGCCTAAGAAAAAGAAAAATATTAATCAATGTTTTAAACAAAATGTTCAAAATATTCACCAACAAAACTCTAGTAGAGATCATCTACATTTATCAACATTAGCTGAAAACCATCAATGTTTTAATATTAATAACATCAACATACCGGCGCTTTGATAATGTATAAATATCAAAACGTTGCTCAATATACTATTTTAAGTAATTTTACGTGAATTTGTCGTACTAGTTGGATCTACATTTGATGTCACCGACACCAGAGCAAGCTGTTTTTAATTACAAGATTTTTTTAAATTTTAAAACTTAATATAATAGGATATTCTCTAAAAATATGCAGTTTTTTATAAAAAGATACATGTGTCATATTTTTGAACTAGAGCTGATACAAAAATTTCAGTCACAGATTTGAAATTGTCACTGAAAATTCGTCTAATATAACAGAATTTAGAACCCAATCATTAGAAATGCTGTTTGTAGTGATTGTTTTTTTATTTGTGAAAGTAATTTCTATTGTAGTGTAAACGACGTATTGTAGAAAAAAAAAATATCAGGTTAACTAATATATGGTGTACTGATTTATTATTTAAAGTTAGAAACACAAACACTTCATTCATGATTTTTATACCTAAATGTATTAAAAAGTACCTCCAGGAATCGAGTACTATTATAGTAACGACATATTTGATACGATACTGGTATCGAGTAACATATCGATACTTTCTAAATATTGTGGAACCCTAGCCCTAGACAGATAGGCTTTGCTTGATAGAATTGAGATCTATAACGATTTTCCATACCGTAGCGACATCTAGTTTGATTTCGGGAACTAATGTTTTTTTTAAATACTTCCTCATTGCGCCCAGCGTTTTGCATATTTAGAATTAATTTGATATTTGAATATTTACGAAATTCACGCAATAACTATTTGATATATGATAGCAATTGCGATCGCGTCGTTTTTTAAGATATAATATGAACGACAAAGTGTTTTGATGTTAATAAAGTAATTTTTATTAATAACCTGTAAAGCTTATTGGTAAATATGGTATTGGTAAATATCAATTTATATCATTCAAAGATTTTAAAATCAACAATTAGGCCACTGTTTCTGCAACTTGAGAAAGTTTATTCTGACTAGTATAATTTACAACTTTATTTTTATCTTTTATGTTGTATGTATATATTTTGTGATTCAGAATATTGTGCCGAGCAAATTTAATTTTTTCATTGATAATTAAAAAGATACCAGAGAATTTAAAAAGGATATTTCTAAATACCTGTGGAATCGAGTTATGGAATAAGTATTTTGATGTATCGTATTTGTACTTGCAAAACTCGGTACGCGTTTGACCCCATACGTCCCATCTCTATTTCTTGACACTTATTTTGTATTGTTTTAGTTAAGGCAATGGTTTATATAGCTTTAAAGCCAACTTTTTTATTAAGGATACAGAAGCCAAGCAAGGCTACGACACACCTTTCACGATCAAATCAATCACGTTCTGTTAGAAGGTGATGTCAGAAGCCATAAAAACCGGCGATTATGTATGAAAAGAGTCATGAACGTGGTGGAGGCGAAATTGTATATTTGGACCATACCTTGTGGTACTCAGTCTTCTCTGCCTACCCCAAATGGGATATGGACAAGAACATGCTTAATGAGTCCTTTATTCAATTATATAATATTGCTCGAGTACAGGAAAAAGTCGTGTTTATGTTTTAACGGCGAAGCTCTTGAAACTTATCGGTAAATTAAATATTTAAAACGAATTTAAAAATGTCATTTGAAAACTCAAACGTACAAACGAAAATTGTATTCAAAAATATCTGTTATGCAGTATTAGCGTCTACCTATGTTAACGAACCGTCTAATTAGGTACAGTCGCTCAAAAGTAGCTAGGCGTTGTAACATATAAGATTTTACGTTACAGGTATAGATAGCTATACTGATAGCTGATAAAGCATTTTTCATTGAAGATATATCTATCAATGACTAGCTTTCCGATAGGTTTCTCTGTGTGGTCCATATAAACTTTATCCCGTTAGGGGTTTAATTTAGTGTTCACTTACATCATGAAAGGAAGTCTTGTACCAAATTTCAAGTTTCTAGGTATATACTTACTGTACCTTTATATAAGTCATATTTGTCTATTATAAATTAGGGGGAGTCCGGAGACTTGCCCAGATAGGAGAGTTGAACCACTTCTCAAAACTCAATGTAAATTGCAAGCTAATGAAACATTAACACAGTCGTAGATCATGTATGGAAAACCAATAATGTATGTGTCACTATTACACAAAATGCCTGGTTTGTTTGGCTTTTAAGTCGCGAAAAGTGTTTTGGTCACTACAAAATAAATTTTAAACAATTAGTAGTTTTGAGATACTGGCAGTGTTTATCGATGTAAGTATTGTGTATTATTTTTATCGTGTTTGCTGATTATTCTAGTTTGAAGTATGTAAATTTTCTTAACAGTAATTGAATACCTTTTCTGCAATGAAAATTTTATGTCGAAGTGATGTATGCGGGAGAGTTGAACCAATTTTCTTGTTGAAGACATCAGTGGTTAATTATAGCATCTCTGGTGATGATTCTTCTGCCATAATACTACTTGCACTCAATTCAATATTATAAATGTTAATAAAGCAAGTGAACAGAAGGCAAATAACATTTAGATTTTTTTTTAATTTTTGAGAAAAACGATAAATATCAATTCCAAATAATAAATATATGAAAGCAAAACTACGCAAAAGACTCCAATAGAAAGATGATACTCAAAAAATAAACAGAAATTACTAAAATCCCTGATAATGAGTTTCCTCAGACTTTTGATCATATGTCCTTCATAGTGGGGAGAGTTGATCCATTTCCCATTTTTACTTCAAATCGGCTTAGCAATTTACAGTAATAAAATATTTAAAAAGTAATGATGCAAAAACAAGTCTATATAAATTACACATGGATTAAAATTATAATCTAGTCTCTACGACAAATCTATACGAAGATATGATAATTCAAGTAAAAAGAAGTCTCCGGACCTCCCCTACATTTTGAGCAAATTAAATGAAAACACAAATTGTTGTATAAATTAAATTATCCGTTTTTTTAATTCGAAATCCCGTATCTCTCTTCCAAGACTACCTAAAGATGTATTCGAAGATTTTTTGTACAGTTTTTCTAAGTTACCCAATTGTTGTTCATTATTCGTCTCCTTGTTTATTTTTAATTGATTGTCGACAATGCTGATGGCTTTCGACAACTTAGGAGGAATGGAAAATCCAGACAGTCCCCTGTTAATTATTTCCACATTAATTTCGTCGGGTTCGTATAAAACAGAATCTCGAAGATTTGATTCCGATTCATATCTCCAGCTTTGCCTTATATTTTTATTTGAAATTGGACTGTATTGGTATTCCAACTCTTTGATGTCCAAGTAGGGATATTTTTTCATTATGACTGATAGTTCGTATTGACGTAGATCTTCTTCGCTTAGTTTATCATTTTCTTTTCTCTTTTCAATGTAAGTATTTCTTCCAATGTCCTGAGCTGAATATTTTATCTTTTTAATTGCGTTCCCTATATTGTTTGCCATTTTTTTGCTACGTTCAATAATGTCGTTGTGCAATAAATCGTCCCAATGCCAGGAATCTGTGAAAATTAAAATTTATTTTAAACAAGATTCCGTGCCCCCTACAAAGCGCAATGACAATAGTGAAGCCATTTGAGATCCGAGTGTGCGTGAACATAGAACTTGTATTTATTTAAAAAGTTTTCATTTATATTAATACTAGCTTTCCGCCAGCGGCTTGTATTATACACAAAAACTTTCCTTTTGAATAACCCTATCAATTAAAAAAAACGCACCAAAATCCGTCGCGTAGTTTTAAAGATTTAAGCATCCAATGGGGCAGTAACCACTCATTTCTATTCTTCACTAGGAAAAAATATATTATTGTTATTTTTCAACTTCTTCTATTAAAACGATTTATTTATAAAAAGGGGAAATAAATTTTACATCCATGGCAATATTATTTGGTCGTTTTTATTAGTTTTTGATTTTATATGATTCGAAAAGAATTACGCCAGCGTATTACTCCCTTATTAGTGAAAAGTAATGCGCTAATTATTATCTTTCTTGTGAATATAATTTAAGTCTTAATTTCATTCATTTGTATAACAAAAATCTTGACAAACGTGCGCGGTGAATGCAAGGAACATATACTCTTGACGAGGGTGAATGTGATTCTGTGGACAAGACCCGCCAAAACATTTGTTTTGTCGGATCTTAGTGGTATTCACTTTTTGGGTACTGACATGGTATCTGGTGAATACATAATCATACTTTATGGGTATCTAACATACATCAGACAGCGAAATAGAGATTTGTATTGACTTTGCAAATTACTATTTGTATTGCTATAAAAATAAATAAGTATAGTGTTGCGTGTTAGGTTTTGGCGAACTTACTATTAGTATATCCTGTATCTCCATTTGAAGATAACTTTACATTTTGTCTATGAAGAGGAAACGTATAATTTAAAGACAAGCACAATAAGATACATACACATTTCAGAGCGAACGCGTCAATTCGCATTATTAAAATAAAAGTTAATTTAGATAATATATAAAGCAAATTTTTACGTTCTTGTTAAAATCATCTGAACTGTCATATAACTGACTTTTAGGTATTAGTACGCGCTTGTATGCGGCTGAATTCTCTTTGGACTCAAACTGTTTAGTTAAATAATGAAAATAGGTTTTATCTAAAAATGGGTTACTTTTTTCTTTAAAAAACATTTGAGGGGAGCTACATTTTTTTTCCGCGAGTGGTGTCATGGGACAATAGCATAATTCATTAATTTTTTACAAGTGTGTACACAGGTCCATAACATTTTCGCTTTCATTGCTTTAGTTTTTAACAGATTTTATCCAAAATCCAAGAGGAGTAAGTTCAACATCAATATATGTATTTTTTTTATGTATGATCACAGATATTTCTGCCAATTGTTGACCGATTTTCAAAATTCATTTCTCGACAGCTTAATGGACCGAGGTGGTCCCATTTAAATTTAACGAGATCAAATCAGTAGTTTTCCTTTTATAACAAAACTTGATACGCTTTTCACTATATATCACCTAAATAAACAGATGATATTTATTGTATTTCATGTATCTTGTTAAATGACAAAAGATTGCGTATTCTGAACAGATGATATGTATTGTATTTCATGTATCTTGTTAAATGACAAAAGATTGCGTATTCTGAACTCATTCAACATCCGAAAAGAAGATTTACTATGTTCAAGGAGTATGTATATTTTTTATGAAAGTAGGTATGTCAATCGATTTCTTCTTGAATTGTGAACCAATTTCCATAAAATTGATTCACCTGCTTCCCTGCGACTTCGTGTAAATTACAGCCAATGTCCGACGCGTATTATGTAGCTTCCCGTAGATGAAATCAGTCATATTGTTTCGGAGGCTATCCAATGTAAACAATACAAGCAATCAAATATTATAAAGAGGAAATATTTGATTTTATATTTGATTATTAAAAAAAATCTTTTGAGCAAAGTAACACTCACTGTGTTGAATATTTTTATTTATATGAATCAAACCTTATTTCACTAAATGATAAATAAATAATAATTTTCAAATTTTATTGACAATGTCATATGCTGTTGTTCTTCATAGATAAACAAAGTGTTTTATTTGGGTAAAACGAGGCATGTTTCTGCAAGAAATAAAACGGAAGACCTGGCGGCCAATTCTACTAAATAAATTTTGTTTAAATCGAATAGAAAACGGATCGAAACCGAACGAAACTACAGTTTTTAATGGTTTTTCTATTCTACTAAGCGACGTACGATACGATTTTCGATTCGATTTAAACAAAATTTATTTAGTTGAATTGGCCCCCTGCAGGAACGTGAATTCACCACAATAGATCTATATCTATACTAATATTATAAAGAGAAAAGATTTGATTGTTTGTTTGCAAAGAATAAGCACAGAAATTAATGGACCATTGATAAAAATTCTTTCACTTACGGGAAGCTACGTCATATGCGATGAACATAGACACAAATACGCATAAACTATGTTATGTTTCATCGCGAGAAACGAATAAAGCGATGACAATGAGAGTGGAAGTTTGTAAAGGGGACGAAAACGAAAACGTTACCATAGTAACGGTTGTTTACTATTCAATTTGTCATTAAAATTATATCTGTGTCATCGTGGCATGATATGAATCGATATCCAAATACTTAAATAGATCCCTAGGAACCATATATACCAACATAACCACACATAAGAACAGAAAATAACAGAAAAAGGTAAAGAAATAAATATTTCTCAGTTTCCCGAAGAAAAATACGAAAAATCACATATAGAATACTGCTTACGATGTCTCTCGTATTGTAAATAAGTACGTAAGCTAAAATAAGTATTCATAAAGTATTCATTGCAAAACTAAAACTTATGTTTTATATTCAAAATTGTTTTTAACCTTTTTCGGGTATTTATTTTACGAATTATAACTCGTTTCTGTTTAAAATATAGGTATGATTTCATTATTTAATTACCTTTCGGGAACAATTTAAATAAGATGCTTACGCCAAGCACATTTATATTTATTACTACACAAAGTTAGCCCTTCCATCTTGTCCTCCTTTCCCCTAGTCAAAGTTAGCTACGTATGAATAGTTATTTATCAGATCCCAGTTAAAATAAACCGACAATGTACTAGTCGAACTCGCGCACCGAGGGTTTCGCACCATCCATGTTACTTTTTCACGACTTAACTACAGGACCAACTTGTATGGGAGCCCCCCTTTAAACAGATATTTAATTTTATTTTAATGATTTATCTTAAAAAGTTAATTTATAAATACATTCTGTGAGTATGTCAAGCGTCTACTTGTTGCTGTTATCAATATCAAGTAAAATTAAACATTTTTTTTTGTATTGGTTATTGAAGCGATAAAGAAATACAACATCTGTGAAAATTTCAACTGCTTAACTTTTACGGTTCATGAATGAGATATAGCCTGGTGACAGACAGTCAGAGAAGTCTTAGTAGTTCCCGTTTTACTCTTTGAGCACGGAACCTTAGAAAAAACAAATTTAATTGATTATAGTAACTTTGTACATAATATTGAATTAATTGAAGTTTCCTTTTCAATAAGTCATTTATATTATTGTAGGTAGTACTTACTGGTAGCACCTAATACAGTTGCACCTAGAGATATATTTAAGTTTTTTTATCGTTAATTAATTAATAATTAATTTTAGTTCAACCGTCTTCTTTTAAAACTTCACAAAAAATTATATTTTAATAACCACATTTTTTAACACCGGTAGGCGTTTTATAGAATAACTGAACATTACTATATTGTTAGAATAATTTCATGAAATAACCACAAAATCTTTATTTAACATTAGTTTTTCTTGAAACAAATAAACTTGACAAGAAAACATTCTACACGCCCCAGGGTGGCGTTCCTTTGCGAAACGGCCCGCCATTGGCTACATCACCCCTATAAGCCCGCTAGAAACGCGACGGCGATACAAATAGGCGGGACTTTATCCCGAGGGAACTCGCGTTGATCACCTGACATGTCAATCCACGTGCCGTCACCGATCGGGCAGCACGTGTTATGTTATAAACAAAATGAGTAACGATAAAGTAGGATTGACGGAAACGTTGCAAGCGCCGCGGCCTTCGTCACCTAGAAAGTTCTTTGCGAGGATTTACGGTCACCTGGAGGATAAGTCGAAGGGTGAACAAAGTGAAGGTCAGGAATTAGAGGAGGAGTCGGATGTAGAGATTGGGGATGACGAGGGTGCAAAGGTGAGCAGTGTCCCCCTATGGCCAACACCGCCGCCACTTCCCGTATATCCTCGCCCGATGCTGCTGCCTCATCAACAACTCGCATTCGGTGCAGGACTTGCTGCTTTTTGTGAGTATCATGTAGAGTTCATTAATAAACACTGAAGTTTTAGTACCCATATAACGTTTAGTCTAAATTTACTCTATTTTTGTCATTTAATCGTTAAAAACTCACTCTACGATCTTTTATTTCACATAATGATATTTCACTTTCACTACGTATACGTTCAATAGGTACTTTCTTTACTGAATCTGATTAAATGTATATCTATCCATAAAAAAGTACTCATAAATACGATGAGAGTTGTTGAAATCTTCTAAGTATAATGAAGTTTTTTATTTACAGTACAGAGATATCAGACTTGCTGCAATACTGTTTATTATCAAACATATACATTTCCTAATACGATTTTTTCCGAAAAAAAACCGAAGGGTGAATTTTCTATTCGACTTCGCCTGCGTAAATCATAGCATACGCCAACACGTCTTATGTAGCTTTCTGTAGATGAAAGACTTATATAAATTGGTACAATAGCTTCGAAGCCTACCCAATGTAAACAAACAAGCAATCAAATACTTCCTAATAATATAGAATTATTGAAATAAAATAATATTAGAATTATTGAAAAAAAATATATGTTGAGCAAATGAACAAAATCTTCTTTAATAACAAAAGGCTTTCACTGTATTGAATTCTTTTATTTATGTTGATCCATATCTATACTTATACTACAAAGAGGAAACGTTTGATTATTTGTTTGCGACTATTCGTTCGTTCGAAACTACTGGAATGAATTTAGAAATTCCTCCGCTTGCGGGAAGCTACATCATATGCGGTGAATATAGGTTATATTTTATCACGAAAAACCAATAAAGGGATGAAAATGGAAGTAGAAGTTTGTATAGAAAATGTAATGAAAACGTTACCATAGTAACAATTTTTTTACTGTTCAGTTTAAACGTTACCATAGTAACGATTGTTTACTGTTTAGTTTATCATTGTAATTATATCCGTGTCATCGTGTCATTATATCCAAAAAAACATTTCTCTAGGGACCACATGGGTGAAGCTGCTGGCGGAAAACTAGTTTTTATTATTTTTAGTTTTATATAAAATATAAAAAATATCAATATCACTTAAAACCATGGAATAAAACCTTAAAAATATCGTACCGACTTCAAATATTATAAAGTGATTAATAATAATAGGGATGATGATTGATGACTAATTTTTGCTTGTTTGTCCGTCAGGTAGATTGTTAAAAAATATTAAACACGTATTTTTTTTATTTTTTTGGTAAACATAAAATTACGGCGTTGCATTGAGTTGAAATTTCGCATGACGTCACGTTAGAGTACGTTTTCTACTCAACTGTGACGTAGCGAACCCCCACTCCTTAACTTTAATGCCTGTTATCTAAGCTATTTCTTGTTAAATTGAAGTAAAAAAAATATGTATCTAATACTTTTCTAGTATCTGACTGACGGACTAAATAGAATTGCATTTTTTTTACCCAGTCATCACCCCTATTATATCAAAAGCGACTTATTTAAGATGATGCTATTGAAGTCGGGTTCCTATCATTTAATTAATAAACCTGCAGAAGACCTCCGCCGGTACTGAACCAGTTACAAAAAATCAGCTACGGGAAGCCACATCATACGCGAGGGATAAAGGCTATATTTTACGTGGACGAAGTCGCGGGGAAACAGCTAGTTTGATAGAAATTGCCGATATGTGGTGTGTTTGTTTTGTTATAAAAACAAAACTGTCAATTCGATTTTTAGCCTATTCGATTTCGATTTTGAGCACATAAGTCGTCGAATAAAAAAAGTTTGAAAATCTAAAGTTTCTCTATAAAAAAACACGACGTGCTCAAAATGGCTACAAATAGTGAGGTTTTAATATTCTTTATAGTCCGATTAAGATTATCGAAAATTCATTCAAATAAGCATATTATTACGAACACTTTTGATCCATCAAAAAAAAAACTACCATTAGTTCAGGACGTCTTTTGGCTGCTAAGAAGAAACATATCAGTTGTACGTTAATCATATAAGTATATAAAGATAAACGAGAAAAGTTTCCCCAAACATTGAATTTATCGAATTTAATGTTTGGGGAAACTTTTCGATTTTATCGAAACTTAACTAACTTAACTAACCTAACTAAACAACTACATCCACATCACCGTATTGAATTTTTAAGTACGATATATTTGTTATGTTATCAAGAGAACGTCTTTTTCTTTAATTACTTTTAAATAAGCGGGAAAAATATACCACATTATACTTTTAAGTTACAGCTAAAAGGCGACTTTATTTTTTCTTGATAGAGAAGAAATCCCAATGTTACCCCAAAATTCACCATTTTTCGTTCTTTGTCTAATTTTATTAAGGATATATCATAAATATGTAAGACACTTTATAGCCGAGGAGTTTGAAATAATCTTACTATTGCGAGTAATTAATTAAAACAGTTTTTGGGCATGTGACATATACATCCAATGAGGTACGTTTTCCTTACTCATCCTATTTATGTTCGATCCTCGACCAACAATTAATTATTTCGTTTATATTCTTTATTCATCCCATCAGTATTCCTAGCACATCCTATTTTAAAATCACGTGAAATCATAAGATTTTTGTGTAATGTCTGAACCTATTGTTTTATTAGATAAAATAACAAGATTTTTTTCTATTCTTCTATTACAATATAATAAAAATTTGCAACTACTATTATTGAATAATTATTTTAACCTGTTGTTGTATTTGTTAATACTTTCGTTCGTTAAAAGCGAAAATTCATACTGGACTATCTATCGCGAACGTGATATTCCAGTGAAATTGGTATTCCAGAGAAAAAAGAAATTACTAAGCTCTTTTCAATAACGTCGTCATAGTTACACGATCAAAGATATCGCCTGAAACCCTTGCTCGTAAAAATATCACTAGAAAAATACTCGAGTGTCCGCATGATAAGCCGCGCGCTGTATTATATCAAACTAATCCCTACCCTTTTTAATGGACATCTCTTTTGTAAGTGTAAAAGAAAATATAATATTTTGCATGAATATTTATATTTTATGAAGGGCGTAGATAAGAGATAATGTATACTAAAAGGATCTATTTAAAACTTGAAATATTGCTTAGAAAATAATTCTCGGAGACGATTTCTAATCCATACAATTACATTATAGAACTACAATAGTAATAGATTTTTTTAAACGGACTTCAACGGACTTTAACCTTCTAAAGAGTAAGAAATAACACTATTTTCTGTAGGTTATTAAATAATATCCGCCCAATCCAATGGAATTTTCTCTTTTTTGAAATTTTAAGTCGATTCGAAAAATTATCTAAGTATAAGTACATAATTATCATCAGCAGTCTATTAACGTCCCCATTGCTAGGCTCAAGTCTTCCCTATAGTTGGATATATGCAGAGCTCGAGATAGTAATTTTTTTTTGCCCTATCCTATGACCGAGTTTCGCATAAGTTCCTAAACAACCACATACTAGATGAAATCTATTTAAATATCTAATGAAATTAGTCTACTTCTGCGTAATTTCGTGGCTGTTGTTTCTAATGAGTTGCGAGTCTATCATCATGAGAAATGACGCAAGATATATGTAGTATGTGTCCACTTGCGTTTCTGACGATATGCTGATAATTCTACTGTAAATCTTCACATTTATTTATTATCCATGGATTATACTAATTCTATTATTATATCTATTTCTATATTTATCAAATGAAAGTTAGTCAGTGGATTTATAAATGGCGATTGTCAATACTGTGAAAAAATAATAACATGTGAAGATTGACAGTCGAATATTTTTTCTAACTGACTTTTAATTACAAAAACGAGAGATTAATACTTATACTTTAATGAAGTCGAGTGGTAATCATTAAAAAAAACTACACAAAACAGTGTTATATCTTACTTTTTTGAAGTCGAACTGATTTAAAAATATAGTCCATTAATAGTAGTTATATGTTATGGAATTTATAAGAGTATCGACTTAATTAGGAAAAATATACTTTAATCATATTAATAATCTAACACGTATAATACATTGATATTATTCCGTCATTCATTACGCATATGTATACGCAGACCAAAAAACTCTCGAACTCACCTGTGCTTCGGAAGGCACGTAAAGCCCTTTTTATTGACCGCATCTATAGTTAACACCCAAGAATCCCCACGGAACCCGTGGTGAGTTATGACCTCTTCTAGGCACCTATGGCGAAGTTAATATGCGTATGATGGTAATGATGAGGACTTGTCAAATAATAAGAAGAAGGCCGGTAATTTAATTACAAATGGCGAATATTGAGGTGCAGTGCCTGGGGTTTGAGCCGCCCCATACTTTTGGTTATAAGTAAAACAAAATGGCGAGTTGCGCGTAAATACTATTTTAATGAATTACGATTATTGTGTTGAAAAGTGTTGCATGTAACCTTTGGCGAAAAAGTACCTCACATATCTATTAATTTTCTCTATAAAAAATAAATCGAAGAAAGAAAATTTTAGGAGTAACTTTATTATTTTCACAGTCGATTTTTATTTATAAATTCACATAATTAATATAATAATAAATGAGTATAAAATAAACAAACAGTGAAACCAAATCTCATAACTAATCAATTTATATATTGTATTAGGTCATTTATAGTATGGGGGAGATCTTGCGTACTGGGATAGAACGTATACACCACAGAACATAGAGAGAGAATAGAAGTAGTAAGTGGGCGGGGCAAGCGTCGCTGGCATATGCGCTTTTACTCATATGTCGCACTTTCCTCGGTTTTATATTTGTCAGTCGTTCGTCAATCGTCGAGTGGTGATTTTACTGATTTTTTCTATAAAAAATACCGTTTTGTGCTATTATCACTTGCAAAAAGCAAAACAAAGTATACAATCTAACTAATGCAAACATTTCCTTTCACTGGTAAGTACAATTTTAGTGCTAAAATATAAAAAACGTAATAATTTGACACAATTTCAAATAAAATATACATTGTTTGCTCAAACCAACATGTTTGTTTCTAACCCCGTTTCTAGACAGCAATGTAAATCATATTGTGCACTTTTGCA